GTTTCACGTCGGCAAGCGGGCGTACAATTTTGTGCGCTCCTTCCTTTCGTCGCGGTCCACAAGACTGAAGATTGACGATTTTTTGACCCACGAAATTACCCTTGGGCCAAAAGGGACACCTCAGGGGGCGGTGATCTCCCCGACGCTGTTCAATATCTGCATGATCAACCTGTCGAGGGCCTTGAACAAAATCCCGAACATTAACCACACGATCTACGCAGACGACATCACCATCTGGTGCCTCAGCGGATGTGAGGGTCAGGTCGAGAGTGCTTTGCAAGAGGCCATCGATGTGACGGAGCGCTATCTCATCCCCACCGGGCTAAGGTGCTCGCCCGCTAAGTCCGAGCTCTTACTGTATAAGAAGAGGCCCAGAGGCGGTTCTCACCGGTCCTGGAAGCCAGCAATGGAGAGCCACATTACGTTATTCACCGGTAACGGCTCCCCAGTTCCGCGGGTGGACACTATCAGGGTCCTTGGAATGTTTATCGAGTATTACGGAGCCAATGGAGCCGCCGTAAAACGCATTTGTTCCAAGACCGAAAGCGCCCTCGGACTGATTCGAAGAATCGCTAACAGGCACCGCGGAATCAGGGAGGACAATCTGATCCGGATTATCCACGCATTCGTGCTATGCCACCTCGCTTATTCGGCGGCTATGCACAACTGGCTCGTGTCGGAGCGCAACAAAATCAATGCCCTAATCAGAAGAGTCTTCAAGCTGGCCCTTGGCATTCCCGTTCGAACGCACACGGAAGACGTCCTGAAGTTGGGAATCCACAACACGTTCGAAGAAATTGTCGAAGCCCAAAAGTTTGCACAGTTTGTCAGGCTGTCTGGCACCCCAACGGGTAGAGCCATACTCGGCATGCTGGGACGAAACCCCACGGTTGTCGGTCCTGACGCTGTGAAGCTGCCCAACGACGTAAGATCCAAGATCCAGATTGCGCGGATGCCGCGCAATATGCATCCAACCTACAACGAAGCACGAAGACGAGTCAGGGGTAAATCTCTGCTCGCCAGTGCCCGCTTGGACAAGGATCGAGCCTGCTTCGTCGATGCTGCTTCGTACATTCAAGAAGAAGCCTTCTCCTCAGTGGTCGTCGACTGTGATTGCAGAGTCATCAGCTGCGCTACCATCCGCACTTCTAGTTCCAGCGTTGCAGAGCAGGTTGCCATTGCTCTTGCATTGACGGACGGTGTACATGACACAATTTATTCAGACTCCAAGGCTGCTATCAAGGCCTTCCAGATGGGCATGGTGGCTCCCCAGGTCCTACAGATTATTCAAAAAGTCAAAGACCTCAAGAATCACTCATTCGTCTGGTTTACTGCGCACCTTGGAACCATTGAGGGTGCCTCGCTCAATCCCAACGAGGTGGCGCACTCGGCTGCACGAGGTTTGACTGACCGTGTGCCGGGTAACACGTCATCTCCTGGGCGACCTGAGCCTCTCTGCTCGTACAACGAGATATGCAAGCACCACTATCTGTCAAGAAGACTGCTGCCTCTACCACACTCCTCGCTATGCAGGGCCCAAGCTGTTACTCTCCGACTGCTACAAACAAACACTTACCCGAGCCCTGCGGCACTGCACACAATGTACCCTGAACGGTTTCCAAGCCCGGACTGCCCCCTGTGTGGTGGTTATGCGGACTTCGAGCATGTACTGTGGGGCTGCGCCTCTGCCGGTCCCCCTTTCACCCAAGAAGAAATGAAGCGACTCATTAAGGCCCAGGACCAGACCTCTCAAATCCTGGCCGTCCAGAGGGCCCGCGCGAGGGCCGTCAGGTTTAACCTGATGGTCCCCGAGTGGGCCTAGCCAGGTGACGCTGAGTTTATTCGCGTCTATTGTGGACCGAATAAAGTTGTTTCACTCACTCACTCTCGACGAATTTCAAGTTTTTTTAATGTAGTGACAACACGTGCTGTCTGCTTTTATATCATTTCCTGCCATGCACTACGTTGAAAGCTTTCCGAGTGGATTCCAAGAAGGAAGGGGGCAGGAATTAACACACCGCTCCTGCCCTGCGCGACGCTTATTACTGGAGAAAAGAAATTCCTTCAAACTGTAATGCTGTCAAAAATTGTGTGACCCACTGAGGAATTGAGGAGCTTTTATTTTTTTTATTTATTTAAGGAATACAGCAGACAGTTTTTCACCATCCTAGTAGGAGAGGGTTACATAAGGTTTCTAACACAGAGATCAAAATTAGAAGAAGTCGGAGCGTGCACGCAGTCGGAAGGCAGTGAATTCCAGTCTTCAATGGCTCTTACAAAAAAGGAGTACTTGAGTGTGTTATTTTTAGGAGCATATGGTCTTACAGTTTTTGAATGATTTAACCTTGCTGAGCGCTGAGGAGGTGGCAGAATGTACAATTCTTTATTTAAACCAGATTCATTGTTGTATAGCTTATAAAAGAAGACTAACCTTGCAATTGTTCACCTACATTCCAGTGGTTCCAGCTCACATTTATTTAACATTTCAGAAACGGAGGAGAGGCGCCTAAAGTCTGAAAAAATGAACCGTGCGCTTAGCCGCTGAATACTTTCCACGTTATCTATGTCTTTCTTTAAATATGGGTCCCAAGCAAGGGATGCGTATTCTAGCACTGGTTGAACTAGGGTTTTATAGGCTGCAAGTTGAACTTTCCAATCACATGACCTCAGCTTCCTTCTTAAGAAGCATAGCTTCTTGTAGGCCTTGGCGCAAACGTTGTCGATGTGAGCGTCCCAGCTAAGTTTCGTAATAATGGTCAATCCCAAATATTTTACGGTATTAACAAATTCAATACTTTGGTTACGGACATGACATTTATATTTAAGAGGAGTTTTCTTGTGTGTTACTGTAAGAGCGCAAGTTTTTGAGTAGCTAACAACCATCTGCCACCTCTCACACCAGTCAGCAATATTGCAAAAGTTGTCGTTAAGCAATGATTGATGCAAGGGGCTACTGACAGTTGTATAAATAACACAGTCGTCTGCAAACATTTTCACAGTCACTCCCGCGTCAATATCATCGCAAATATCATTCACATAGATCAAGAACAAGAGTGGTCCCAAGACCGACCCCTGGGGTACTCCTGACAATACATCAAGGTTTTGTGATTGGCAGCCGCTAATTTCTACAAACTGCGTTCTGTTTTTCAGATACGCAGAGATCCAGTCCACGAGGCGGGGAGCAATCCCTACACGCTGCATTTTTGTATCAGTAAAGAGTGCGGTACCCTATCAAGGGCTTTTGATAGGTCCAAAGGCTCTTAGGTATCAAAGGCTTTTGATAGGTCCAAAAATATTACATCTATTTGTTTTCTGTCATTGATAGCATCAGCGAAGTCGTGTATGACTGATACGAGCTGGGTCGTCGTTGATAACTTTTTTTCTAAACCCGTGCTGGAAGCTGCCTAATATGTTTTTTGATTCCAAGAACGAAGTTATCTGGCTGGAGAGGATGTGCTCAAGTAGTTTACAGCAACTACTGAAAAATGATATTGGCCTGAAGTTCGAAGCGAGCAGTTTGCTTCCATCCTTGTGGACTGGGACAGTTTTTCCACACAACCAATCAGAAGGTAGGCATCCGTCATCCAAAGATTTATTGAACAAAATATATAAGTAATGTGAAATAATGTCCGCATAACGCTTCAAAAAGGCATTAGGGATACCATCAGGGCCAGAAGACTTCTTGGTATTAAGTTTTAGAAGAAGAAGGCGAATACCATTTACACTTAAATCTATATCCGGCATTACGTTGGGCGAGAGAGGAGATGGTTCCGTCGGATTATTGGTTAAACTCTGTTGACTGAACACACTGTGGAATGTTCTGTTTAGCTTATTAGCAATTGCGTAAGGATCAGTAACTGCGCAGCCGTCAACGCGAAGCTGTTCAACAGATTTTTTGTTTCCGGACAAGTATCCCCAAAACTTTTGCGGAGCGTTTTCTATGAAGTTAACAAGTGTCGCTCCAAAAAAAGAATCTCGAGCGGTCCGTATTTTGTGCTTCAGTGTTACTGAGAGGGAAAATATGGCCTGGTTATCTTTACGCGCTGCTTTACGTTTTCTTGATATTGTGCTTTTCAATTGTATTATATCGCGTGTTATTCAGGGGCTGCACCGTTTTTTCTTCTGAAATTTCGGTACGCATTTATCAAGACGCGATGAAGTAACGTTTTAAACGTATTCCACAGACTTAATACGTCTCCTCCTGCCTCAAAGTCACCGAAGCACAAACCAAGTTTATCTATAATAGCTTCGTCATCCACAGCAGAAAAATTAAAGACACTCTTGCTCGCAGAATTCTTTTTGTCAGGGCAGAAATTCGCGGTAAGTAAAACCAGCTTGTGATCAGACATTCCATCATAAACACTGGCCTTAGTGTTTATGATAATAAAATAGAAAAAAAAGAAAATAGTAAATAGAAGATCTAGTACACATCAGTGCTTCGAGCAACTCTGGTAGCATCTTTAACAAGTTGAACGAGATTAAAGTTCAGCATCAATTCAAGCAACAAGATACAGTTCGCTACGTCTGTTGAACCTGGGTGAAGAGTGTTCCAATCAATTGATGGTAGGTTGAAGTCCCCCGCCAATATGACCTTTTCATTAGCCTTGCACTTCTGCTGCATGTAAGACTGAATGTTTTCCAAAAACGACTCCGGCGAAGAAGGGGGCCGGTAGACTACACCTGCGAGAGCCGAGAGCCCACGAAAATTAATTTGACACCATACACTTTCATTGTCGATTATTTCGTCCATAGTTATGCAAGTGATTTCCTGTTTGACCACCAAAGCAACGCCTCCTCCTCTGCAGCCTCGATCACGTCTAACCATTTTATGAGTTGGAGTAACTATTCCAGAATCTATATTGTCCGGAGTTAGCCAGGTCTCTGTAATTGCTATGATTTGGCGATCATAGGTAAATATGATTTCTTCAAGCTCGTGAACTTTATTGACAATGCTCCTAGAATTAAGGAGAACAACTCGCAATTGTTTGTGATCGAGTCATTCAGTCGCGGTTACGTTGCGGGCGGATACATTTCAGGCAATCCTTCTGCTCATCCCATCCGTATCTATCATCGTCCACTCTCAGTTTATCGTAATCAAGCGATACTTTGCGACCTTGCGCCCTGAAATCATTGGAATGAGACCAGAGTTTGCTGTGTTTTGCTATAGTGGCCTTGCAGAAGTCATGGTTTACCGAGATTTTTGTTCCTTTCAGTTTGTGACAGTTTTTTGAACACTTTAAGCTTCTCGTTGTAGTAAAAAAAATTCATTATTACCGGTCGCACTTTATCGCGGCATTTTTTCCCAACCCTATGTACTCTTTCCACAGAGTTGACAACCACTCCGAGTTTATCCTCTATCAGTTCCTCGATTATCTCCTTTCTTAGTTCTGTAGCATTTTCACGATGCGGTTCAGGAAAACCAAAAATAAAAAGATTGCGGCGTCTGCTTCTATCTTCTAAATCATCCAGACGCCTTTGATGTAGTTGAAGATTACCTTTCAACGCTGTAACTTCAGTCTGCAACATTTAAAACATTTAAACATTTTGCCAGAACGCCTGCAGTTCTGGACTCGGTCTTGATACAGCATAGCAGCGCCATTTTTTTCTTTCGTATTTTTTTCTTACTCAAGCTCTCTTCAATTCACAGTCAGGTTTGACACGTGGCGGCAATTTTGGCGGTTCCTCACTTGCCATTGTGTTCGCCCAGTTTATTCTGCGAAAAGCTTGGCCACACGGTCTTTTCCAAGGCTTAAGTTACTCATAACTGAGCATTTGCGCTCTTTGTACGCCCCAAGGAATGCAGAAAGGCTACATAACGCAGCAACGAGCTCTACTCTCCGGGTTTAGGGCCTGCAGCATAGATATCTGTATTATTTCAAATTGAGCATTCTGCAGAAGCCTCTACTTCGTCGGGGAAAAAAAGTAAAAAAACTGAAAACATTCGCCAATATTCATATCAAGAAACCCCATGTTTTGTAGCCTGATCGGCTTTTCTTTTCAGGGCTGAGTAGGCCCAGGATGTTTGCCACCACTAGTTGCAAGCCCTGGAAGTAGAGAAGGGCAGTGTCCCCAGTGGTGGGGTTATTGTCTCCCACTATCTGCTGACTGTGCCAGGACTCAAAGGGGTGCCGCCGGTGAAGGTTTGTTTTCGTTTAGAACACCGTGGTGTCGGGACTGGTATGGTGGCCAACCCGCTTACAAGTTCTGCCTCTGCGCACGGTCCACTGTTCGTCTGACCGAAGTCATTCCTGTGCTGCCACAATTTTTGCAAGCTGTAGGACCACTTGATATCTCCTGCAGCCCCACACTTCCAAGTCTTACGACTCGTGTTACCCTTCCATCTGCTCTATCCGCTTTCTCTATACATGACATGGCCATCACATTCTTCCAAACCTTCTTCTACTTACTTCAAATCCCGCCCCTCCAACGCGTCGAGCTGTGCTCCCGCAAGGGCTTCAACCACACACATACATTCAAAATTTTTCATGGAAGTTCTTGGTTTAGTTGGCGCACGCGATCCTGCACACGACGCCTTGCGCTTTTCCCGCAGGTCTTTGGACCAGTGGATGAAACTGCCGATGGTGGTGGAAAGCTTGTGGGAACGTCGACTCCTGCCTTTTTAACTTCTCGGGCGCCCAAGATGTAGGGGATCCACACGTGGCCTTGTTGCGGCGCGGTGGTGCCACATTTTTCCGTTTTCCCCTACGGAGGGCTCTGCGAATAAACGCCTTTCGAAATAACCGTTGGTGCCGAGGTCACGGATTATTTTCTCTCTTCCTCCGCTGTGGTGAGTAGTGGTGATTGGGTGATTGGTTATTTTGATTGGAGTTCTCACGTTTGTTCAATTTTTTTATCCTTGCCCAAAAAAGGTTATTGCGAACATTTTTGTACGGGTATGGTCGCTTTTCATGGGAAGCCAGCAGTAACTGGTCTGTGAAGCTGGTGGGATTAGCCAAAACTCGCCTCAGACACAGCTGGCAAGCACAGAACAAAGCTGAGCGGCATGGATGATGAGAAGGCATGGAAATAGCATAGGAAGATGAAAAGACGGGATCTTTTGCGCAATGAAGCGTTGCTAAAGCGTTTCCGGCAGACATTTATTTACAAACATCCCCCCTTCCAGCTGTACATAACGCCCATCCCTCCCCCCCCCCCAAACACATTGCGATAGGAGATAAGACTGGTGTGCGTCATAAATAGCCTTTATTTTTTTTCTCTATGAGCAAAAGGCACTTACGCAAAAAATGACGCTTTTTTGCAATGCACGGCTAGAAAGCTCGTTTGCGCGAAGGCGCGGTGTTTACTGTTGAAGTCTTGGTTCCACAGAGAGAGGTTCCACAGGCGGGACCCAGAGGTATTTTCGCATAGAGGAAACGAATCCTAGGTTTTCGTGCAAAGCTAACTGGCTAGGTGGACGCACAAAACCACGTGCAAGTGAATCACCACGTCGACAAGTCTTTTCAACGAAGGTTTTGTTGCCGCTCCTGTGATCTCTCTGGCGTTGTAAATATGCGTGACCCGTTCAAAGAACGCCGCTGAAGCTCGTACACCATCCCGTACAAGTCTTCCCCTCTGAAGTGGTTCTTGGGAGAAAGGAAGAGAAAAGTGAGCCCCGTTATTGTCTGCTTCAGTGAGCGACACCGCCACAGAGCTCACAAAGGGATGGGGGTAAGGAGGGATAAAAGGGTAGAAGTAAAGGTATAGGAAAGAGGAAGAAGAAGCAACAACAAACTGAGGGGATAGGAGAGACAGGAAAGATGGAAGAACGGTCACTGGAGTCCGAGGACGGGGTACACTTGCGAGAGATGTTGTCGGCGTCTGTAGATGGCGTAGAGCAGGACCAGTAAATCAGAGCTGCGCTGTCGTCGAAGGTCGTCGGCGACAGGAGATGACGTAGGGCGAGCCCAGTCGGCCAGAGCTACGAAGACGCCGAAGGTCGCGAGCGCGCGGAGCGCGCGGGCGCACAACAGGTCGGTACGAAATCCAGGGAGCGTCCAGTCTTCCCCTCTTTCGTTGAAATAGGACTCGCTCACTGGAATCCGTGTCGACCGGTTGTGCCCTCGCGATCTCCGATTACAGCGCAGCTCTGGCCGACTGGACTAGCCCTACGCCACCTCCTGTCGCTGACAAGAGTGACGCGTAGAAAAATATGTCGTCGCTCTCTGGCTTACCACCTCATGCCTCTTTCTCTCTCTCTACACCTTTATTCCTGTCCTTTTAATCCCTCTTCACCCTCATCCCTTGTGAGCTACTGGTGAGGTGTCGCTCGCTGAAGCAGACAGTTACGGGGCTCACTTTTCTCTTCCTTTTCTTTTAGAATCACTTTGTAAAGCTCAATCTTTATTAATTAATTAATTTATAGCCTCAAAGCCAGAAGGCATTACAGAGGCAAGTGGTACATTTGTTATTAATAAAAGATTAACAGTTACTTAAAAGTAAAAAAAACAATATTGCACGGGGTCATGACGTTGCCGAAGACAGGAGACTTTGCGTTGGAATTTAACTGTTTATTTGGGTAAACCTGTGCCCGGTAAACGGAAAGTCCGATTACGGTAGGAGTCTTGAACTGATAACGGCGAAAGGAGCGCTGGCCGTCGATCAACCACTGACAAGCGGCGAAGCGCGTCAGCATTTATACTCTTGCCGTCGAATGTTCTAGCGTTATCACTGGTGGTGGCGTTGGTTCCAGAATAATCTGTACTGTTCACAGAGTGGGCGTGATCTTATCGAAATAATCTACTACAGTCCGGAAGCATCTCGAAAGCTGCAGGTGCGGTTTGCGCTGAGAATCGTGTAGTGTTTTGGGACGATAACAAAACTTGAAAAATGGAACGTGGCATTGCCCCCCTTTGAAAAAGGCATCGTCCCGATGCTTTAACTAAGAAAGAAGGTACAACAATAATGCAAGAAAGTACAATGAATAAATTATGATACAATAATAATATAAGAAACGCTGTTTCGATTTGTTAACGCGCATGAAACGGCTTGAGGCGCGCGACATGGACGACTTGAGGTCCCGATCGGCGTGGTTGAGAGTTCGTATTGCCATCGGGGACAACCTCGTAATCAAGTGGTCCGAGACGTCGAACCACCCTGTACGGTCCGAAGTACCGTCGCAGAAGCTTTTCACTTAGTCCACGTCGACGTATCGGCGTCCACACCCAAACACGTTCACCGGGCTGGTATTCCACGAAGCGTCGTCGAAGATTGTAACGGCGGCTGTCGGTCGTCTGTTGATTCTTGATACGGAGACGCGCGAGTTGTCGGGCTTCTTCGGCGCGTTGAAGGTACTCACTCACATCGAGGTTTTTCTTCGTCTGTGACGTTGGGTAACATGGCATCGAGCGTCGTTGCCGGGCTCCTTCCGTAGACCGATTCGTATGGAGATATCTGCGTCGTCTCCTGCACCACCGTGTTGTGTGCGAAGGTCACGTACAGAAGAATGGCGTCCCATGTCTTGTGTTCGACATCGACGTACATTGACAGCATGCCGGCGATCGTCTTGTTAAGCCGCTTGGTGAGGCCGTTGGTCTGTGGGTGGTACGCTGTCGTCCGGCGGCGGTTTGTTTGGCTGTATACCAAGATCGCTTGAGTTAAGTCGGCAGTAAATGCCGTTCCTCTGTCGGTGATAAGGACCTCCGGGGCGCCGTGACGTACGACGGTATTTCCTACGAAGAACTTAGCTACCTCGGATGTACTGCCTTTTGGCAGGGCTTTTGTCTCGGCGTAGCGGGTGAGGTAGTCGGTTGCTACCATGATCCACATGTTTCCGAAAGCCGACGTCGGGAACGGCCCCAGTAGGTCCATACCAATCTGCTGGAAAGGTCGGCAAGGTGGTTCAATTGGCTGCAGAAGTCCCGCTGGCCTTGTCGGTGGTGTCTTGCGTCGCTGACAGTCCCGGCATGTCCTCAGACGAGTAACGTTGGTGGTAAGACGTGGGCAGTAGTACCTTTCTTGTATCCTCGCGAGCGTGCGAGAAACACTGACGTGCACTGCCGTCGGATCGTTGTGCAGGGTCTGCAGGAGAGAGTTCTAGTCGCAGAGCTGAAGGCACCACAAGGAGGTACTTAGCCCGAAGCAGTGAAAAGTTTTTCTTTTGTATAAGACCTATTCGCAGGAAGAACGACGCAGTGCACGCTTGAATACCTTCGGGAATTTGGCGGTCCTGCCTTCGAGGTCTTCAATGAGGGCCTTAAATTCCGGGTCGGCCCGCTGTCGTTCAGTGAAGTCGTCGGTAGTTATCGTTCCCAAGAAGTAGTCGTCATCCGGGTCGTCGGGTACTGGTTGGTCGACAGGCGCACGAGAGAGATAGTCAGCGTCGGAGTGTTTCTTGGCGGACTTGTAATTGACAGCAATGTCATATTCTTGAAGCCTCAGACTTCATCGTGCGAGGCGACCGGAAGGGTCCTTCAAGGTGGCTAGACAACACAAGGCGCGGTGGTTGCTCACAACTTTGAAGGGCCTGCCGTAGAGATAGGGGCGAAATTTCGACGTAGCCCAGATGATGGCGAGGCACTCCTTTTCTG